GGAGCCAGGAATTTTCTTGGTGTTTTTGAATAGTTTTCAAGTACAAACAGTCCAGTACAAATTTCCAGTACAAAGTCTTGTTTTCTGAAATAAATCAGAGTTAAAAAATCAGAGGAGAGGGGGGGGGGGGCCAAGGGGGTAAGACAAATTAAAAGTTTTATTTCTTACTTCAAGCAGCAATATAACATGTTATGTCATTTAGCATCTCAAGTAAATGTATCTTGATTTAAGATATGTTCAGATATTTTTAGGTCGCAATCGTGAGACCTGCATTTGTGTAATTACTGCCTGGTTGATCATATGACAACGTGAAATTAAAGATATGTTATGTTATAAAAAATAAATGTGTACCTAAAATACCAGTGGGACCATTAACAGATTTTCATCCCTAGTCAGAGCAAATTTGTATAGAGTTATATTTATCTTACTTTTGTGATGTTTTTGTTATTGAAACCAGGTTTTTTTACTGGCACCAGAAAAACAATATTCTGGTCTGCTAATTTGATTGGAAGAGTACTGATATTTCATATTCAAACACTGCTGTGTAGAAGTTCAGTGCTTGATTCTGCTCTGGCTTTGATTAAAACAATTCTCTTTGACAGAGCAAAAATATACAAACAATATACAAAATAGCTGGCTACATTGTGTCTGGCCACATCGACATACATATCAATATAGATATACTGTATATATGTCACAGTTTCCCTCAGTCCCCCCCAACTAAACTCACTCTGCTCATTGCTCACTGGAATAACTGCCCGCACCTGTTTGCAATCACCAGCTAATAATGGACTCTGGCTGCGTTCGAAAGCTTAGGCAGCTGAATTGTTGTCCTGCTGCACTATCAGCCGATGACTATACTATAGGCAGCATATTTTTTTAGCTCAGTTGTGTGAAGGATACATCAATGCTGCTTTCAGAAATCGATTAGATAAAGGTATCTCAGAATCAGAATCAGAATGAGCTTTATTGCCAGGTATGTTTACACATACGAGGAATTTGTTTTCGTGACAGAAGCTTCCACAGTGAAACAGAATGACAGTGACAGAACAAAAAAACACAGATAATAAAAAATAAAAATAAATAAAAAATAGAACGATCGGTGGCAGCAGCTTCAAAAACACTCCAATCAGTGAGTTCAAAACAAGCTTGTAAATCCTGCTCTGCTTCATTAGTCCATCTTTTTACAGTCCTTAATACACTTAATACCTTAATCTCAAGCTACGTTCACACTGCGAGCCAGATCTGATTCTTTTGTATAGCTGTTCACATTTTTGTTTTAAAGGGGTCATATGGTGTTGCTAAAAAGAACATTATTTTGTGTATTTGAAATGTGGCCAGTATCAGATTTCTATTGTGAAAAGATCATGGTTCTGAACTGAACCGCATACACAAAAGAACAATACGAACAGGGTTGCCAGGTTTTCACAATCAAAATCCGCCCAATTGCTTCTCAAAACTAGTCTAAAACTAGGCCAATCACATTCTGGGGGGTAAATATTGTGTTAGTGTGGTCGCTTCAACCCACGGAGTTAAAAAACAACCTGCGGCAACAGTGAAAAATGTAGTCCAGTTCCGCGGGAAAACAGAGGACTTGCCAACACTTGCGAATTCCGATATGACTGTTCAGACTGCGGTTGCATTGCAAAACATCGGACCTGTAACAGATTTAGTACCACATATGGAAGTGGCACAAAACGGAATTGAAAAGATCAGATTCCATGTGGTCTGTGCTCCTCACACTGAGTATGTTTACATGGACAACAACATTCCAATTTTAACACGATTAATACAATACTCTGATTAAGAATCTACTATGTAAACAGAGATTTTTGATTACCTTAATCCGGCTAAAGTCATACTCGAAGTAAACACAAATCGGTTTAAGACGTGGATTATTTGTCATGCTATACGTGCAAACACGTTGTTTAAGCCATGCTCTTTTGTTTGCCGTCAAACGGACCACTGCCGTGTGTGTATCCTGTCGCAAAATGCAGCGAAAAGTCCTACACGACGGTAATAATGTGATTAAGGTGTGTACATATCTATACTGCACTTTGATAATGCGACTAAAATATGAAATACTCCACATGTCTTAATTCGATTTGTGTTTACTTCGAGTATGAATTTAGCCAGATTAAGGTAATCAGAAATCTGTTTACATGGTATATTCTTAATCAGAGTATTGTCTTAATCGTGTTAAAATTGGAATATTGTTGTCCATGTAAACGTACTGACTGTCATGAGAAAAACAGATCTGAGTCACATGTGAGCAAAAAAAAAAATCAGATTTGGGCCACATTTGCCTGCAGTGTGAACGTAGCCTCCGTAGAGAGGATGTCACAATCATTGGATTCAGATATACCCTGTTACCTTCCTGCCTCCATAGGCTGCCTGCAGGGGTTGCATTTTTCAGCTTTTGGACGCAGCCTCCATTTAAACCCTGCAATGACCACAGCTTTTGGTCTGACCTCTTCGGTACTCCTGTTCATCCATCACTTCTCCAGTTCTTTGCACATCTCCTCGCCATGGATTAACCTGCGAGATAAAACTGTTAACATTCATCCAACGCATCATATTCACATTCAGAGGAAAGAGCAAACTCCTTACGCCCGCCATATGCAAATCCCCAAAACACATAATGAACATGTAAACTACATGGCCAGACAGATCTTTTGCTTTGTCTTTGCAGGTTTGATCCTGAGGGCTTCTCCACCAATGCTGTCCATTCAGATGACTTGAATCTATTAGTGATTACATTTTTCATTCTGGCTAAAAAAAACTATTATCCTGCCCACAATCTTCTTAAACAGAACAACTGGCGTCTTCTGCATTGGAGAGCATTTAAAGATCTGCTAATTACATTAATGATATTTTATGATCTGGTTTCCCAAATAATTAAGCTAAACTTAAACATGTGTTGTCGTTTCAATTTAGTAAGGACAGAAAATATACTGTGGCTTTCCTCAAAGAGATTCCGATCAGCACAGAAATAGATGATGGTCAGAGAGAGTTATTCTTTACGTTTATGGGTGTGTTAATTATGAGTTGAAGCCTCATAATTACATTTAGTTTCAGATGATTTATTATCAGCAGTTTACCACAGCTTGTGCAATAAAATCATATATGCTATTTTGTCTAAATACAGTTAGATTTATGAGCGTATATGGGTGTAACGTGTAAGGGGGAAAGTATGTTTGTAATTGCTATATGGGTTGTATGATTGTGTCTATCTAAGCTGCAGCGAACAAATTGTAGTTGAATAAATGGTTTGCTCAAAGATGAGATGGCAATAGAGTGGATAATTTGCAAGCAGTAGAAGTGGACAGAAGCGCCAGATAGATGCATACCTCTACAGTCCACACATAAAAACAGGTAGTGGTCAGGCCCTGGCTCTCACAAGGCTAAATTTAGTGGTCAGGAACCCAACTGGACACCATTGCATCTTCATGCTTTGCGACCGCAGACATACCTGATTTAGCAAATGATGGCAAGATGAAACGGAGAGAAAAACAGTGGACAGAAAACAAAAACACTAACTGAGGCTAAAGGTGCATCCCAATTTATGTACTTATGCACTATTCTGTGCTGTTTTGTAGTATAAATAGTGCAAGTAGTGCATTCACACTAAACATTCCAAAAAGAAAAAGTGCACTTTAAATACCTGGATGATGCACTTAATTAATTGAAAAAAAATAATAAAATGTGGAAAGTTGGACAGCATGCACTCAACTGCCGCAGCTTTAATTACGAAGCACATGGGGAGGGGCTCTGATTATGAATGACAAAATAACCTTATAAAATCCACACATTACACGGCTGAGTATAAGTACATAGTGTATAAATGCATAGTGCATCATTTGGGATGCAGCTTTAGTTGCCATGATTGGAAATGTAGTCCGTCCCAATAGGTGGCTAAAGTCCAAATTAAAACTGTCCTGGAACCGTTTTACTATCGTTTACTTTTCAAATGTCTTTTATGTATAGTTTTAATCTTTTTACCCATCTTCCAGACCCAGACTTTTAATTATATTTAAATTCCATCATAAAAACAATTACATGTTGAAAATAGTGAGTATATATTTTTTATGATATATATATATATATATATATATACACTCTAAAAAATGCTGGGTTGTTTCAACCCAACTTTGGGTCAACTATGGACTAACCCAACTTTTGGGTTAAAAATCGAATGTAAAAATGGAACCCAACAGTTGGGTTAGTCCATATTTGACCCAAAGTTGGGTTGAAACAACCCATCATTTTTTAGAGTGTATATATATATATATATAAAGGATATATAAAGGATTTCTTCTCAGAGTGTCATTTTCAACGAAGTTGTAATTTTGGCAAATAAGGAAAAATTTATTGTTATCTCAGATAAAATTGTCTTAAAATCTTTAGAATGCCATACCTTTCTCTCTCTTCAACCAACAACAACAACAAAAAAAAGGCAGTCATCTTCATCTTCAATATATATATATTTTTATATATTTATATATATATATATTTTTTACAATACATAATTTGAGATGTGCTGGGAATGCTCATTAATTTCAGAAAAACATGACAATGCTTGATGCATATCAACTGCTAGACATGTAATTAACAGTATGGTGAGAGTGTAAAAAGTATGTTCTGGAAGTGCATTTTTAAAAAGTTCACAAGTGTCCATATTTCACACATAGCTAGATGCAGAAATAGCCTAACTGCAAACATTGTCAGGGTAACAATATAGCCTTAACAAAATAACATGCTTTATGAATTCATAACATGAACTGTAGTAACAATGATATGTAACCTATTTCAAAGAAATAAACGTACTCTGGTAATACTATCTCAGCTCGGGATGTAACCGCTTTAACCCATGCATGTAGCCTCGTTTAAACGGCGTGGGTGTGCTTGCCTCAAATAACTGTGTCGTTCTTCAGTCGATCCGCCTCTCTGTCAGGCGTCACAGCACTCCGCACCTTCGCGTGCTAAACACTGGGATGCACGCAGCTACTGCTGGCAGAACCGAAGAGTCCGCTGGAGCGCATCTCTCTCGCGTCGGGTTCATACGCTTTGAGGGTGAGTTCGTATTTTAATAAAGTTTATTAAAACGCTGAATGTAAATTAGAAACAGACAGTGTAAAAACTTGCCAATTAGGCGGAGACAGTTAAATACAGTAACAGAAGTAATCATTATCGTTTCACAATGTTGTCACTGCATTATTTACCTATATATTAAAGGCAAAGCAACGCTAGTATTTTTTTTTTTGTACCTTTTCTCACTGTATTACTCCTTTAATAGCCCTCTCTTTAAATCAACAACACCAGCCTAATCTAAATCCGTTACTGTTATCATTTATTGCATTATTCCTTTTTAATGCAGCAATGATTCGGCTTTACCTTTTCTACTTGCATGCATATAGGTAAAACTCTAAACTTGCTGATAAATTATTGGGTCATTTTAAAAGTCTCATACTCACACTTACAGGGGATTATATATATATATACTACCCACTTTATTATTTGTATAAATAGCACAAGTAATTCTCTTTCTTATGCACGGCAGTACTCAATGCATAAATGCAGCATAAATAATTTACTTGTTTCAAATTGCAAATGCACCGTATTTCTGTTTCACCTATTTTCTTGTTCAAAATCATGTCATCAACATTCAGGCCAATATTAAGACTTTACCTAGAGTTTTTAACGTTGTACAGAACCTCTAGGCTTTTATTGGTTATAGTGGTTCTTGTTGCATATCGGTAACAACTGTCTATCCACATTTACACATTTGACTGGTGCTTTTATCCATAGAGTTGCAGTGCATTTTATCAGTTTTTTTTTTTTCATTCTAGTATTTGAACCCTTGACCTTGGCATATTGCCTTGCTTTACTAGTCGAGCTACAAGAACTAACTTCAGGAAGTGCATTATTTACACTTGGTACACGTTTTTTTGCTGATTGCATAGCTATATTAACATGACTTTAAGAGGTGGTTTGGACCAAAATGCATCTGCTTTTTCAAGCCACATATGTAAATTTTACTCTTCCCAAAATGCAACTGTCAGTATTGCCATTCCTGTGATGAGAGTAGTCCGGAGGAATCCCTCTTCAGCAAGCAGACATCTGTTGTCTTTTTTTGGGCTCCTGTTTTTAATTTTCATTAGCCACATCAAGTGCACCATAATTTTTAGCCCCACATTATCACAACCAGAAGTGAACAGAGTATAGAAGTCCAGTCTGTTCTATGACCATTTACTTGGTGTTATGAAACATTGAAACTATCTTTTAGCCTCACCCCATTTTATCAGTTTTTTTTTTTTTTCATTCTAGTATTTGAACCCTTGACCTTGGCATATTGCCTTGCTCTACTAGTCGAGCTACAAGAACTAACTTCAGGAAGTGCATTATTTACACTTAGTACACGTTTTTTCTGATTGCATAGCTATATTAACATGACTTTCAGAGGTGGTTTGAACCAAAATGCATCTGCTTTTTCAAGCCTCATGTAAATTTTACTCTTCCCAAAATGCAACTGTCAGTATTGCCATTCCTGTGATGAGAGTAGTCCGGAGGAATCCCTCTTCAGCAAGCAGACATCTGTTGTCTTTTTTTGGGCTCCTGTTTTTAATTTTCATTAGCCACATCAAGTGCACCATAATTTTTAGCCCCACATTATCACAACCAGAAGTGAACAGAGTATAGAAGTCCAGTCTGTTCTATGACCATTTACTTGGTGTTATGAAACATTGAAACTATCTTTTAGCCTCACCCCTGAACTCTTGTCTCTTTACCTTCAGGTAGAGCAAGATGACAGGTCCTCCATCTTTCTTGTTCAGTCTGACCGCATTGGCTGTGGTTGTATCTTTGGTCTATAGCGGTGCTTCCATCACAAACAATGAAGATGACTGCCTTTTGACACGGATAGAGATCCCAGTGATCCTGGACCAAAGCACAGCGAGGCTTCAAAGCCCAGAATTCACTGCAGAAGACTTCAGTGAGCCAGGAGTGATGTGTGGGATTGAGTGCCAAAGAAAGCTGCCAGAAGCGAGGCCTGCGGAGCTGGAACGACTACTGTCTTATGAAACCATCTACGAGAACGGAACACGCACCTTCACCAAAATACAACTAGAAGAGTTCGTCGAATTAAGAAACTCATCCGCTTCTGTTGTCTGCAATGCAGGACACCTAAAACGCAGAAAACGGCAGGTATACGGCATGGATGGACGCTTCGTGATCACAGATAAACACTTCATCACTAACTACCCCTTTTCTGCTTCAGTCAGGCTCTCTACGGGTTGCTCAGGCATTTTAGTTTCTCCAAAACACGTACTGACTTCTGCCCACTGTGTCCATGATGGCCAAGTCTATCTGAAAGGGACCAAGAGGCTGCGAGTGGGTGTCATGAAGCTTCGCTCCAAACGCAGAGGAGGACGCCAACGAGGAGGCAAGAGGAGAGGAGGAAAGAGAAGAGAAAGCGAAGTGGGAAATGAAGAAGATGTAGCCACTGAAGGAGAACTACTTCATAGAGAACACAGGAGGAAAAGGAAGAACCGTATTAGACGTGACACAGATTCAGATCAGTCCAGGCAACCGGTGTTCAGGTGGACACGCGTCAAACTAACACAAGTGCCAACAGGCTGGATGAGGAGAGCAGGCGAGGAGATCTCGGCTGACTATGACTACGCCCTTCTGGAGCTGAAACGACCCCATAAGATGAAGTTCATGGAGTTAGGCATAGTTCCTGTAGTCAAGGACATCCCAGCTGGAAGAATCCACTTCTCTGGTTTTGATGATGACCAATCAGGGAAAGTGGTCTACCGCTTCTGTTCGGTCTTAGAGGAGTCCAAGGACCTCATGTACCAGTACTGTGATGCGCAGAAGGGGTCAAGCGGAGCCGGGGTGTACGTAAGGCTACGAGATCAGGGAGGAAAAGGGAAGTGGAAGAGGAAGGTAATTGGCGTGTTCTCTGGACACCAGTGGGTGGATGTTGACGGGATACAGAAGGACTATAACGTGGCAGTCAGAATAACACCCGCCAAGTACGCCCAGATATGCCACTGGATCCATGGAGATGCTAGTCGGTGTAAACTGGCCTAAAGAAGGTCAATGAGTCCTCAAGACTGCTGGGACGGTCTAGACGCAAACTGCTCATGTTTGTGTCCCAACTGAAAATCCACAGCATCTGTACAGAAAATGCAGTTTTAACAAGATGAATTTGGATGCTGTATATTTATTGTTTTCATTGCCAAAATTTGAGACTCTAGCATTTTGTAATGTCATGTTCAGGCCATGTTTGTGTTAAAAAGCCAAATGTCACCAGCTGAGGCCAAGTAGTTAACTACTGAAAAACAAAACAGCTTGACATTCAGTATTTTGTTTAAGTTCTTGAGGAGTTCACCCAAATATGAAAAATATCACCAGCTGCATGAAGAGGAGCCCGTTTTCCATACAAGAAAAGTACATGGTGATTCATACTACCTCTGAAAAGAAGTGGGAGGATTATTTGCTTACAATAAGAATAAGGTGCACAAGCGATATGGACTATTATGATTTTTGAAGCCTGGCAGTATAAATCACTATGTAGTAGCTTAGACATTCAAGGGGTGATTGTTTGGTCTAACAGCATTTGTATTTATTTAATATTGAATGCATTTGCCTAGTAAAGTCAACGGAGTTAAAATATAAAATTACAAAAGTACTTACATTTTTAGTGCATATAGGAGTTCGACTCTTTGTATAATACTAAGTTTTCGTTTTTTATATTTTCTTTCACAAAACACCAGAAACAAGATTTCTACACCATTCTGGTTTATTGTCTTTGAAATGACAGAAAAAGGAACATTTGTTACATTACACCTGACCAACAGCCATGCTAATAGCAAAACGTAAGTAACGCAATCAAAGTGCACATTCTACACTAACAGCTCATCTGATGGATCCAAATATAAATACAAAAGCTGAGCGGAGCGACACCAGAACTGGCCAATTAAAGATTTGATGCAGCTGGACTTTATCCCTCCAGAGATCCTGATTGGACAGCATCCTGGTAGGAGGGCCCGCCCTCTTTCTGGTCAGGGAAGAGCTTGATAAGGTCATCGATTCGAAGGATGGTGATGGCTGCCTCTGTGGCGAACTTCAGACTCTTGGTTTTAACCATCGTGGGTTCATACACTCCCGCCTGCTTGTTGTCTCTTGGCTTTCCATTCACCAGGTCCAACCCGATCCTAACAGCACGCACACAAAAACAGGTTTAAACAGAGTAATCATTCTTTTTTTTTTTAAACTGCATTGGCACTCAGCTTAATCCATAATAGGCCACATTGCTTCCAGATTGTCTGCACAAATCCCATTCATCTACCACATCAATTCTAAGGACATTTTAGGGAAGTAAATCAAAACCTTACTTCTTAAACACCAGAGCTTTTACTCCTGATTGTATGTTTGTCTGCGGTCTGTCAGTGCAGTCATATTTCTAAGAGCTGGACAGCTTGCCTGTGTGATGAGAAGAGAGCAACACTAACCATTTGAGGTTCTTGCGTTCAGGGTTGACCTGAGCCTCATTATGGAAGGCTCTGAGTTTGGCCACCAGGTCAGTGGAGTCTTGTGCGGCGTTGACTGCCAGAGTTTTAGGAATGACGAGCAGAGAGCGAGCAAACTCCGCAATAGCCAGCTGCTCTCGGGAACCCTAGGTCAAACACACAACCGTTTTAATAGTTCATTCATACACACTAATTATTAAAAAGCACAACTGCTGTATATTAAAGAGTTGATCAGTGCCCACAACATTTTCCCATTTATTCCCTATTCATTTTCTCAGTATGAAATTCAGTAAGAGCTAAGAACCAAACTAAGCAGATCTAAAAAAAAAAAAAAAAACACAAAACTTTGTAAAATACAATATAAAATGAGTTACGTTATAGGGCTTTCAAAAAAAAAATTTGGAA